CAACACAAGCCACCCATGGTCCCTCAGTATTTACAGCATTTTATGGCCGTTCGCTATCTCGTTGACAAGCAAACCCGAAACAGAGGTAACCAACTATGTATGTGGGATGCCTACAGAGCTAATCAGTACTTCGCTCTGATTTGATGTTAGTAAGAACACAGGACAAACAGTAAAAGAACTAACGTCCTTCGCGCATTGTGCGTCCATGTGTCTGGTTTAGTGACGTCTTATGGAAATTTTTTCGTCTTTTGCTGTTAACAGCGGTGTACGACAAGGTTGTCCTATGTCTTCGTTTCTCTTTGTGACTGAAGACGTCCAGAGCTCTGGAAGGTTAACAAAATTTTGACTTGGATCAACAGGCTGCACTCGCACGCACCTTGGACACACTGGGTATTGAGGTGTGTTGTGTGTCCGAAACTAGGATCAATGACCCTAATGGGGTTGTTGAAGTAACTGCACCCGGCCTATCCTCTCGTTATGGGTTACATGGTTCGGGAGACGCCGATGCAGCACTCACCGGTCACGCTGGTGTAAGTATCATTCTAAGCTCCAAGGCTGAGCCATCTTTGGGTGATGGGACTCCGGTGAACAGCCGTTTATGTGCAGCCCGTTTGAAGACATCAGCCAAGGTTGATTCACGAAGTAGTACAAAACGTTGTTTGTTGGTGATTTCCGCGTATACTCCCACGGACTGCAGTTCAAATGCTGTCAAGGACACATTCTATCACGAACTGAACGCGCTACTACGCAGTGCGATTAATTCAGATATTATAGTACTTGCTGGGGACATGAACGCACAAGTAGGGCGTCTGAGCTCTTCAGAAGCTCCGCTGGGTGGTAATTATGGGCTTAACTCCGAACGGACTGATAACGGTGAGCGTCTGCTGCAACTGTGTGCGGAGCGCCAGTTGTTTCTTAGTAGCACTGCTTTTAGACACAGTGGGCGCCGAAGTGCCACTGGGCGTCCTCCTGTAGCTGGTCAGCGATGGACCCAAATTGACCACATAGCCATAAGTTACAGATGGCGTGGTTCCATGCTGGATTGTCGGTCTTACTGGAGTACCTGTGTCGACTCTGGTCATGCCTTGATACGTTGTCGTTTCTCCAAGAACTTTACCGGGAGGCACACTAAGCGTCCCCTCCGATTGGCAACTGAAAAATTGTTTAAGGCAAACCTATCAAGACGCACTACAAACCGAGCTGTCTTGTTCTAATGACATCGAGCTTCAGTGGAATAGGATCTCGGCCGCCATGCACGAAACAGGAGCATGTGCTTGTGGTACTATCAATCGTCACCGCACCAGTCAGTGAATATCAAAGAGGTCGGTGAACCTGTTGGAATATAGAAGAAATCTCCCGGATGGCTCTGAGCACAATGCGACCAGACGGGCTATTAGGTGCGAACTAAAGCGGAACGTACGTGCTGAAAAAGAAGCCTGGAGGACCACCCGAGCTCAAGAAATGGAGGTGGCGGGAGTAGTAGGCAATTACCGCAAGCGCTTCCAGCTAATCCGCACCACTGGTCCCAGAAAACCAGGCGTCTGTGAGACAATCAGAGACATCGCGGGGGCGCTGATACACAATAAGGAGCGCCGTATGGCTCGTTGGGCCAAACACTTTCAAGATCAGTTCAGCTAGCCCCCTGCTCCCGGACCTCTTCCTACTCAGGTGATGCAGGACGAGCCATGGACGGTTCATTTAGAGCCTCCGTCGGAGGCCGAGGTCCGAAACGCGATCACAGTCCTCAATCGTTTTCGTGCCGCTGGCCCGGATTCCCCCCCACCTGCACTATTTAAGGATGGAGGTGAGCTCCTCTGCAAAGCACTAACCTCCCTATTCGAACGCATCTGGAAGGAAGTGAGTGTTCCGGCTGATTATAGTGAATCGATTATAGTGGCAATATACAAGGGTAGTCGCGCGGACTGTTCTAACCACAGCGGTATTAACCTAACGCCAGTTGTGACAAAATTACTGGCGTCGATTCTCGTTCGTCACCTCAATGTGGAACGGGAATCTCGGATTAGGGAAGAGCAGGCCGGTTTCTGAACAGGACGTGGTTATATAGGCCATAAATGCACTTTGCGGCAGGTGTTAGAGCAGCGGTACGCATACCGAAGACAGACAATAGCTGTGTTCCACGATTTCAAGAATGCCTTCGATTCTGTCAATCGGTGCATTCTGTTCAAAATACTTGCGCGGAAATGTGTTCCCACGAAATATGTGAACATCCTTCCTGCTCTATACTCGAACACTATAGGCCGCGTCAGGGTCTACGGTGGCCTAGCCGATAGCTTTCCGATCACAAGTACGTTCGTCAGGGTTGCCCGATTGCCCCATTTTTGTACAATTTCGTCGTAGATTCTATCATGGAGTGTTCCCTTGCGGAATCTCACGATGTAGGCGTTGAAGTGCTGCCTGGTGAAAGACAACTTGATCTTGATTATGCGGACGATTTCGCCTTGCTTTTCGATGATGTTGAGGCGGCATAATCAACCCCGAATAGCCTGTCTACAGTGATCCCATTATTTAATATGCGCTTTGCACCTTCAAATTGCGAAGTGTTGCTGCAGGACCACAAGCCATTTGATGACCCCTTGACGTTCGCTAACGAGGAACTCGAGGTGGTTGATCATTGCACTTATCTTGGCAGCTGCATCAGCAATGATGGGCGCATAGAAACTGACGCCATCTCACGCATCGCAAAAGCCAGAGCTACCTTCTTTAACCTGCGGCATCTTTGGCGACAGAAGAGAGTTTCCGCTCGTCTGAAAGGCCGTGTATACAAACCCACAGTCAGGGCTGTTCTGCTCTATGGGAGTGAGACGGTCTCTTCGGTCTGAAGATCTGAGGCGCCTTCAAGTCTTTGATCATCGTTGTCTGCGAAGCATTGCTGGAATCACATGGCACTAGCGTGTCCGCAACGAGGATGTGCGAGGATGTACTAGGTAGTGATAATCATGCAAATGCCTTAGAACAATAGATAGTACTGAAGAAGTTACCTTGGATCGGGCACGTGCTACATATGCCTGGTCACCGCTTACCTAGGAGGCCCTTGTTTAGTCTGCCAGGTGTAGGGTGACGCAAAGCTCGAGGTGGACAGAAGTTGACTTAGCAGCGGGAGATAAAGTTACTGACGACAAAACTGGGTGCCGTTGGTCCGTTTCGCCTTCCTGGCAGGAGTCCACGTGACTCGTCTAGTGCTTGGCTCGAGACTTTACAGGACATGGCTCGCAACCAACATCAGTGGCACGTCTGCTGTCGTCTCCTAATGGGATTGTCTGTTTAAAGTATGTTTGGTGCTGAGTTATCTGCAAGGTAATGGCTGATTATGACGCGTGGCAGTGAAAGCCGCAAGGAAGCTGTCTCGCCGATGCCGCCTTATCTTTGCACGATAGCCAACTGTTTGTGACCGCATGTTGTCTACAAAAGGTGTAGGCGCCTTGACCCTGAATGTTCGCTTAGGGCATTAAGGTTTTCAAGTAAGTCCCCTTTCTTCTTATTCTTTATTTCATAGGTCCTCATGGTTGTATGACAGCGAAGCGTCAGTTCAAATGGCTGATGTACTGCTGTTGTTGACTGATTGATTGCTTGAAGCGTCTAAGTTTAGTACGTGCTTTGCCCCCTCCAAGTGCGAAGTTCTTCTACAGCACTGGCAAGCACCTCTTCCTCAATTCCCCATCGAAGGCACACAAGTCGAACACATAGGTAGTTTTATCTAGCTAGAAAGCTGCGTCCCTGCCGACGGCACTATTGCAGCGGAGCTATCCCTTCGAATCGCTAAAGTAGGAGCAGCGTTTGCCAAATTAAGACATTTGTGGCGCTTTCGCGACATATTACTTTCGCTAAAAGGCAGGGTTTACAAAGCTTGTGTACGCGCGACATTGCTGTACGGATGCGAATCCTTGCCGATCCGTGTGGAAGACCTGCCCACGTGCGTGGGCAATACCGAGTGTGTTATGATGAGGTTGGACACCGCGTCTTGTCTAACAGCTGCGTCAATTGAGATAGCTTGTTCACGTCCAGCGCATGCCTAACGGCAGTTTACCAGGCCGCGCCTTGCTTGCGCACGCAGGGTTAGTTTGAAAAAGCCCGCGTGGAGATCAACCGTCCAAAAGGCGACAAGGTATGAAATCGATGACATCTTGCTTGGCCATCACTGGTACAGTGCGACTCCTCGGCTTGGGACCCAAAGATGAAGTATGCCAAAGGCTCACGACGCCGGAAGCAGTGGAAGCACTGCGCGCAAGTCTGCCTGATTGGTTGGCGGCATCCAGTTTCGGATTTGCCTGTTACTGTGGCCAGCCACAGGACGCCTGCGCCTACAGATGGACCACGGGTGGCTTGCGCTGCATCACCCACAGCTCTAACTACACACCCCGTATCCAGTGTACACCCGAAGGAATAAGAGGCATGTGGATGGGAGCCACGTTTCCTCAACGGAGCCGGCCCACACTCCTTCACAGCAAACACAAGCACACTGTATTTGGGAATCAAGCGCACACAAGGCGGTGACTGGACCGTAGTCCGCTCCACACTGAGTGCATGGAACCGCTTTTCGAGCCTAACACGGCCACAAGGACTGTGCACCCCGTCCCCTCCAGCAACGACCAACTGTCTCCTGGAGCCAGTATGGACGAGGTAGTGGGTAATGGACAGGTAGGTACCTTGTCAACATGCACATCAAGCGCAAGCACATCGGGGATGTCAAACAACAGCCAATCACTTGAAATGACATTATCAAATAAAATAAATCTGTTAAAGAATACGGCTATGCAGACATAACTCTGCCCTAAATTAGCATATGAATTAAATTGGTTAGCAACGAATCCGCGATAAGCACAAAATGTCCACAAGTTACTCCAAAAATGCTACAAACCCAATAAAGTTAAGCAACAACGTATGGGAAATACAATGTACATACGAAAATAGAAGGGGAAAAACCGCGTAAGAAAGAAAATCGGACACCAATGGAATTCGTGAGACATGATAAGATCGCTCACCTGCCTGCGCTCTTCAGCCAGGTCAAGCTTATTTCCTATTACCAAAATCGTAACGTTCGGGAGAGCGAGGTTTCGAACGGTGGATATCCAAGCACAAACCGCGTTCTAAGAATCGTGATCGTTAATATCGTATACTAGTAAAGCACCGGCGGCCCCTCTGTAGTAGGAACGAGTAACGCACTGGGACCCAAAGATGAAATATGAAATATGAAATAAGGCTCACGACGCTGGAAGCAATGACATAAAACCGGTCGCAGTGGAAGCAGTGCGCGCAAGTCTGCCTGATTACACGATTAGGAAAACATTAACTCTTAAAAACCGCAAAAAAAAACAAAATGGTGTGCGTAAAACTACGAAAAATGTTCCATTTTGTCATCAGTTATCAAATTCCTTTACTTTTTATACGCTTTAGTATTCACTATTCAAAATTTCATGGTTTTGAATGGTTCGATGTTTATTTTATAGACGGTTGCCAAGACATATGTAGGCGGTTTTGAGTGCAACCGGGTCATTTGGGTACAGTTAAAATGTTCTGGTATAAGTACGGATCCTTGTGAAACCCCACGAGTCAATGGCACAGGAGCGGACGTGCTTTAAACTTTACGTGTAGGCTGTGGTCTCTTAAGAAGTCCGCAACGCAGGAGGAGTTTGCCCGTCATACCGATCTTCTGTAGTTTGAGCAGCAGTCGTTGGTGAGGGACTTTGTTGAAGTCGATGAAGACTACGCCTATATGTTTTTGCGCATCTACGGCCTGTGCCAAAATTTCTCTGACGACTAGCAAGTTAGAGACGCAAGAACGTGCTTTCCTGAATGGGATGGGGGAATTACGTCGTAGTTCTCAGTGTAGCTGGAGCGCGCGTTTGTGGGTTAGTTCCATGGTCCTGCAGACGACTGATGTCAAGCAGATTGGGCGATAGTTCGCCGGATGTTGGTGGTCTCGGTCCTAGTATTTGGGCATTACTAGGCCTTCTATAAAGTCAAAGGGTAAACGGCCATCTTCAAGAGAATGGCAAGATAGTTGGCAGATGGGATCAGCAATGTATCCGGGTATAGTCTTAAGTAATACGGGATGCAGCTCATCTAGGCCAAGAGGGGAGTTTAGATCCGGTTCGAGAGAAAGCTCCATCATCACCTCTGGGTCAATTTCGATTTGATCGAGAGTGGGACAGCGTACAGGTAGAAAGTTTCTGTGTACAGGGGGCTCCAATGGGCAAACCGAAGAATACTGCAAAGCTAATGTGTTGGCTTTTCCTCGTCATCGTGAAGCACAGTGCCTTCCTCGGAAAGTAGCGTAGGGATCACACTACCCACCCTGACCTATCCTTTCAGGTATGAGAAGAGTTTCTTGGAACAGGTCAGAGATTCCGTGACCAGGCTGTGTTCGTACTAAAATCGCTAGTTGCGCTTTGTCAAGGTGTAAAGGTTCCTTACAGCATCGTACTCTGAGTAGCTTGATACTAATCGTGTAATCTTGAAGTGGTCCCAGAGTTTCCGCAAGATTTGGCTTCTCTATCAATCTAAGGGGCCTTTGAAGTAACGCTGGCTTTGCAGTTTGGGCCGATTTGTTCGAAAACCAGCATCATCTTGGATCGTATTAGTTACCATGCATCGTCGAGATCCAAAAAGTGCGGAATATTAAAATCAATGGTGTTTATCGCCGCTTTAAATCTGGACTGGTCAGCTCGCCAGAAGTCGCGACGTGTTCCCCCGGCCGGTGGCCGAGTGGTTGGCACGTTTGCTTTCCAACCATAAGGTCACCGGTTCGAATCCGCGTAGGGGTGGGCGTCCTCGCGGTATACTCAGCCCGCGCGCGACTGGTGGTGGTCTCGCGGCAGCGAAGCGCCGTTACGGCGTATAAGCTGACACACTTTTTTCTTAACCAGCGGATAGACGAACGTTAGATCGGAGACGTCAGATAGTGCCGGAGTAAACACCGGGTCTAGAATGTGAGATGCTTGGTTTTGGAGCATCCGAGTTGGTGTTAGGACATGCTGCGTCAGGTTACATTCGAGGACGGTGTTTTGTAGATGAGCTTCAAAGGACTCCGTGGAGAAGTCACTACGAAGAAGGTCTCGGTTGATGCCGGTTGCATTGAAATCTCTCATAAGCAGACAGTTCGTACTCTTCGCATTACTTCGCAACGAGTGCAGGAGGTAGGAGCCAGATGTTAAACGGGGTTTGTAGAGTACGCCGACCGTCAGTGACTGGATGCTATTCTGAATTCGACACGTGTACTTCAGGCGTAGCATTTCCGTCGCAGACAGTTTTGAGAACGTTAGCTTTAAAGTAGGATTTTGAGTAGGGGATTACTCCACCTACAGACCTCTGACTGGAGCCACCAGATTGAGAGTTGATACGCCGGAACTTGAACGTCTGAGTCCGACACCTCTGATGAGAACCAGGTCTCTGTGAGCGCCAGTAAATGCGGTCGCTGTTCTGAAACAAGAAGTTGAATCTCATTTAGCTTGTTTCTGAGACTGCGCACCTTCGCAAGTATCACATGTAGTCCAGAATTCACGCCTGGGGTCTGGGGAGAAGTATTGGCCACAATCGAGTTCCAGGAGTTTTCTGCACTACACAAAAAGCTACAATGAAGAGGTCACTTTCACCGTTCGCTCGATGAGTTCGCAGCTTAGTAACAGCCTGTCACATTTTGACGCAGTCCTCTGGGAAGAGGTATTTGAGAACATAAAACTTTTCCCCTTTGAGGCGTGAAGCTCGTCTCCGGATGCGCCGGCATTCTTCCTTGTGACAACAGACGATTTTCAGTGGGCACAGTTTAAACGGGTCATCTGTTCGTATAGCAAGGCTAAAAGCGGAGATGATGTTAATCCCCTGCTTGCCCACATCGAACGGTTTTTGTACCATTCTCTTGAGGCAGGCTTGGTCATCGAGTATCCTCTCGGCAGCGGTGTCATTGGTAGATTCGGGAACGTTAGGTATACTTAGACAGCGGTCGCGGAGCGGAGTACTGTTTCAACCCGGAGAGACTGTGGACTGTGTGCAAATCCATTACTGTCTCAAGTACGAACTTCATAACCGCGTTTGTTGCGTTAGACTTCATCTTGGGCTTTGAAGCCAGCTTCCGTGGGAGCTTGTCTGCAGCTGGACTCAATTTGGTTGTAGTTGGAGCGTTGGCGCCCGCCATGGGAGCATAAGCCTTGGACTTGTTTTCCGGTGTACACTTCAACACACTGCGAATTAGTGATTCTGCTGAGGGGGCGGAGGCAGTGCGGCATCGGTTTGGTCTGCGTGTTGCAGATCCAGATGTTAGTAGGGCCATCAATAAGGGGTGACTTAACTGTATGCAGTGATGGACAGCCAGCCGTCTTATTTGGACATGTTTTTGGTCAATAACAGAGACAAAAAGTTGGTATGAAAATAAATTGCGTAGTCTGTCCATATAAACTGTCAGAAAAGATTGCATGTCTTTAGCACCGTTCTTTGCCTAAAAGCCGTTACTTTTAAGGAAAACGTAATTTCAGTCCGCGTGAGTGACCATTAGGGCTGCGTCAAGTGCGTAGGTGGCTGGAACTTAAAAAAAATTGTCGTGTTCAAGTTCAGGAGGGACTGGAACGGTAGGATGAATCCCGTATTGCTACTTGAGTGAGTCCTTCATACAGGAGTTGATGGGGGTGTTCCGGTTTGTTGATGGAACTAAAACGAAAACATTCCGGCCCAGCAATTTAATGCTTAAGTTCCTTTGATTAGCAGTCCCTGCTATGCCAATTACGTGAAGTAAGTGGAAGAAAGATCGAAGGGAAATGGCAAAGGAAGTCAGTTGAAAGTAGAGGATAACACTAATTGTGGGGGAAAGTAGAGAAACTTGAATCAAAGTAGAAGATTGGAGTTAGGAAAAAATACAAGTTTCGTGTGGTCACCCAAGAGCATTTAGTTGACGCTCAAATCCCTTAACCATAGCTTCCTTGATAACATTTTCTGTAAGCGAGTTCTAGCGCCCGGTGATTCGAGGCGATAACCGTGTCTCCGGTCTAACTCGATCGGACCGCGGTTTGTCCAGCTTCATAAAATGCCCGCGGAGACCAGATTATCTAGCAGGACTAAATAGCCAGGACAAATCAGGCCAAGCTTCCCAGTCAAAATATGGTAGGTTAGGATTAGGTCCCATATAATCCTTCGAGACTGCATTGACTGCCTTCCCAAACAAAGTAGGCGTTGGGGTGCATTTGTCCTTGTAACCATCAATCCAACCTAGTACCGATAAGCAACACCCTTTCTAGTACCATTTCGTCTCGAACAAGGTATGGTGTACAGGCCTGGACGTAATATTCTAAGTGGGGTAGCATTAACGCTGAGAAGAGCTTCACAAAGATAAACTATTAGGGTCCCGAAAGAACGACGGAGAAACCACAACCTCCGGAACTCTTTACTAGCCGCTTTCTTTCAGTTGTCTCCAGAGTGTAGAGTGGAACAGTGGACGACACCTAGATCAACTTGGTAAGTCACGAGAGGAAGTTCCCTTCCATCAATCACGGACGGTCCGATACGCAGCATTGAACATTTGATCCGGTTTACGGGCAGCAATCACAAGACAGATTATTCCCGGAGTCTATACAGAACCCGTTGGAGAGCCGCAGGAGTTCCAGGGATATCAACAATATTCCAGCTCTTTAGGTCATCAACAAAGAAGAGCGACGGTATCACAAGCGCCCCAGGCAATTCATTCATGTAGACTGCGAACAGCAGCGGATATAGGACAGAGGGTAGTGGAACGCCGCAAAGGACAGTTTGTCGAAAAGAAAGACTGTTTCCCCACATGAATACACTGTTCCCGTCCATCCAGAAAAGCTAATACCCACTGAAGGGCGCGACCAGATATTCAATAGGACCTCAACTTTAGTGAGACTCGCGCAATGAGGCTGGACCCCATCGCAATGAGGCTGGACTCCATCGCAATGAGGCTGGACCTTACCGTGGTGCGATGGTTTGTGTGCCTCAGTGATCCATTGAGCTATACTGGGTGGTGCATTTTTGCACCTTCAGAGCCACTCATACCAGCTTGGTAGGTGGTTAGAGGCCAGACAAACTCAGCCTCCTGGTCCTCTAGGTTGGGGGTTGGAATGATGGTGGCTCCTTTTTCCTTAAAACGGACTCCTTGTAGCCCAACGCCAAACCCGCTGCCTTGCGGTCAGGTTTTTGAACCAAAGGCTTTGGTTGAGAACCCTAATCGCTCTCCTGTCTAGGCCTGGGCAAACTGACAGTATC